GAAGGTGTTAGGCACCCCTTACCTCCCTTATACTCAAGGGGGACCTTATCTAATCTTACGGTTACTAGGCGTGTTTACATATTCTTGCTTAATATGTTTTATATATTCATTTGCATAGAAAAATGATTTAATTATAATGAAGGGTAAAAAGGCAAAATTTTATATTAGGGGACTCACATTGGTTTCGCAACTGTGTGCCTATGTATCTTCATCAAGTGATGAGAGAAATCAGAGTCCTACGTGGTTCGGAATTATTTGGTTGGTGTTTTTTATTTTATGAAAAAAGGTTTGATCTTGATTATAATTAAATCACACAGGGTGAAGAAATTGAGTTGATTTATCGCACGGAAGCGAAAAATGGATTGATGAGTTGCGTGAATTTTATTGGCTTGATTTGAATAATTAATTGGTAAGGTGTGCACCAACCAATACATTATTCGAGGTTATGGTGGATGTGCATCCACCTATCTTGTTATTTGCAAAAACATTAAAATTAATTTGATTTAAGAAGTATTTGGATTTATATACAGGTGAATGCGAATTATGTACAACGGTTAAGCCCAAGGCCCATGTAAACTCTAAAATTCTAATTACTACATAAATTAATTGAAATAAAATGATTTTTTTCAAATAAGAAGGTATTGAAAAAAAACATAAATAACCACGTTTCAGAGAAAATTACACAAATAACCATATTTCAGAAAAGACTAACAAGGAGGAGCCAGATGAGATGGCGCATCCACCTAAATTAGCATGTATGCGTCATCCCACATGGCGTGTGCAGTACCTTTAAGCCATATGAGATGGTGCATACACTCTAATTTTAGGAGGAGATGCCATATCATCTGGCCCATACATGTATATGGGTTTTCTATAAATAAAACCGCCATTTCTGCTTCATTCTTCACTCATGTTCTCACTTTTTCTCTAATTTTTTCATCATGACATCTGAGATGATTTTCAAAAGAGATGGGTATGTTTTTTTCTCGGCTACCAAACCCATGATTAAAATGAAATTTTGGCACATCCATTCCATGGAGCGTCTTAAAATAAAGTTGATCTGATGGTTAGACGAGGAAATCCAATATGGAAAACATATTAGAAGGATCCAGAGAAAAAGAACGACCACCTCACTTGCCACTAAAAAACCTCAAAGTTGGTTGGAGGAAGTCAAAATAGACACAAACGTAATGGCGATGATGCATGGGACTGATGAAAATGTTTTGCCGGTTGTAATTTTTTAGATATTTTATCGTTTATTGATGTTATTTTTATCTGGCGTATGTGTTGTTGTTTTATCTGGTGTGTGTGTGTTGTTGTTTTATCTAGCATATGTGTTGTTGTTTTAGTCGTGATGTCATTTTATTTGCGTTTGGTATGTTGTAACAATTATTTTAATGAAAAAAGTTATGTTTAGATCTTAAAAAAGTACAAACAGTGTGCATATTAATTTTATGTTGTCGAGCTAGTAGCACGAGTGAGAAAAATTTTCGGTTGTGTCCGACCTGATGGCATAAACCACACTTTATTTATAGCTTGTCAAACGCGTCCATTTCAGTAGTGATACACTTGCTTTTAGGACGACCATTTTTATTCCTTCGCATTTGATCGTTGTGCCAAACTCTTTCCCCTTTGTACGCAGGCCAATAATCCTATTTTACTACCAGTGGAAATCCATTGTTGTATACGTTGAGCAAGATCTCGACCTTATAAGCGGGAGATAGAAGTAGTGATGAATCTTGATGAGCATACGTACATGCAGTAATAACATGAGAATAGGTTATACGAAAGGCTTGAAACTTTCCATAACTGCATAAATGAGATGGTAGGAGAACCATATACTCTTATCTTGGCAGCACCTCGTTGTGGTCGATTGTCTCTTTGACAATGAACTGGTTATGTCGGTTGAATCTTGTAACGTGATGGGTGTTCGCTTTGGAACTTTATGCCTTCATAAATTTCTTGCAGCTTTGACTCCATAGTTGTCCCGCTTATAACACCGCATTCTAATTTTCACCTCTTTTTGAAAACAACGAAGCCATCCTAAAATATGTTGATTTCACTAAAGCAGTTACAGGGAGGTTTCATACACCTTTGAAGACACCATTCATTAATTCAACCAGATTTGTTGTCATGTGGCCCTATCGTTGTCCGTTTTCATATGACCTCGTCCATTTCTCCACTAGAAGATTACCAATCCACCTACCCTCATCCGAATTTGATAATTTGATCTCGATAGGATAGTGTTTGAACGATTGTTGTGTTTGTAAGTTCCTTAGTTTTAAGGTTGACATTAATTTTTGTAAAACAAATATAGCAGCAATATATTAGATAAAATGTTTTGACTTTCTAACACGAACATGTTGAGCAAGAAGTCTCATCTTATGTTAGGACATGTTAAGTTGAAGTGTTTCAATGTCTGGAATAATATGTCGGATAAGATGTCCTATGAAGGAGCATACGACATCGCACCTGAGCTGAAATTGGCAGTTAGATTCTATTATGATTTAACTGATGCAAAATATTTTGGGAATATTATGCAATCCTATGTGGCACTGATTTAAAGGTCAAGAAGAATCAAATCAGATATTGAAGATTATACAGTTTCTAAATATGGAGATATTTTAGGAAACTAATGATTGAAGACCTTGTTTGTAGCAGAAGTTCCTGCTGATTGTTACAGTTGATATGATGTATTTTGAAGGCCTAAATCTAATTGGGTATAGGTTATAAATATAAGTGTTTGTAACCTAGGAAAGACCGATTCAAGATGTAGAAGTCTAGGGCTTTGTCTTTTTTCCGTTCACTAGGAGAGTTGGTGTAAGTGAACCACTCGGATTGTGAGATAGTCATTGTGTTCTCACTCAGAAACCTGTAGGTAATAAGTTGAGTATTGTTCTTGGAGTAAGCTTTGAAGCAAATCTAAGTTATGGTCTTAGTCAAGAGTCTTGGCTAGTGATTATCATGGAAGTGTGTCTTCTTGTTTATTCAGAATTGTGTTGTTGATCCAATTGTCGTCTGTGATTGAAGAGGGATTGATGAGGGCCTCATATCTAGGCGAATAGAGATCTCATTACCTCCCATTAGAACTCTTTTACAAATGTAGATACAATATCTTTCCTTTGTTGCAATTCTCTCATCCACAACTATGTATCTTATTTCCCTTTTTATCTTGTATAACGTTGTAGATGATATAAGCGATAACAAGAATGAAAGAATGTCTTGTTTAGATCTGTCATTAATGCGTGCATGAACACACATGGGTTTAAGCTTTTGAGTTGATATGTTCCATCATTTAAACGATTCATAAACGAGTTAATGAATATTTCTTTCTTTTTCCTTAATTCCAGAAGGCATGCTGAGCTCTTCTATGTTATCAAATTCATAGTGAACCTAGAGACAAACAACTTGATGAGTTGCTTCATTGAATTGATAAACTTCTTTAAAAGATGTGAGGATCATAAGAATGAAGACTTCTTTAAAGTACTTAAAAAAATAATGCACTAGAGAGCGGCAGATGGCCATTAAAGCCCTATTTATTGATCTTATATGTGAAAGGGAGTTGAGTAACATCCTCCATAAGTGTGTCATTCTAGTGTTTTTTTTCAGTTCCTCACGATTAGTTGCACCTTCTTTTTTAGACATTTGATCTTAGCTTCCATCACATCCATGTGTTTATCCAATATCTGCTCGTCGTGTTCACGACGTTAAGGTTGTGATGCCTCACATCTATTGACCCTTCTACCTTATTTCTTCTTAGTGATCACGAATATTGAGGAGGTGACACTCGTGTTTTCATCAATAGTTCTCTGATAGGGAGAGCTCTTGTGCCTTGATTTGTCATTCTAAGAGTTATGATTCTCGTAGTTGGCTAGCTTTGCAACAATTTTAGTGGATCTTGACTTCTAATTTCCACCGTAACTCTTAATATTTATGGTCTGAATCATCTTTTATTGAAAATAACGATGAATGTCAATTTTTTTGAGTGAACTTTTGAGATGGTTGGACATAAAATGTAACCTTAATATCACTAGTTGTGATATGCAGTTGTCGAATTCCGATCTACTTATTTTCTTCTTTTATTTAATTAGTTTGTCTTATTGAAATAGTTGGTATCAAGGACGGATACCAAATTTTAAAAGAAAATCAAATATTTTGCAATCAATAACGGTATTTATAATCATCTACTATTTATCTTATTTATATTTTCATTTAAATAAATTGTGTTCTTAAGAAAAAGTTTGCCTTTCTTAGCCAATGCATGCATATTTATTGAAATATAACATTTTTAACCAAATTCAAAAATATTTAATAACTTTATATATGATATTAAATTTCTTTGGTTCAAAACAATATAATAATTAAATTTTATGACAAGTGTGTTAATAATATTGAGTAGTATATCATTTTTAAATGTAAGATCATATTTCAAGACCATATAATTCAAGACAATATAATATTAGTAACAAATTAACATAGAAGACATCAGGTTTGATACTATTACTAGTAAATGTAAACCACAAAATGACATAATTAATAAGAAATCAACTATAACATGCCGTGTATAATACTTTCCATTTCCAATATACGGAACTTTTATATACCTAAAAATAGGAAAGTAGTTTTACTTTTTCTAATGATAGAAATTATTTGGGAATAACTATTTAATTAAAACGGTTACAAAGCGAACAACAAAAGTGGCTGTAGTTTAGTGGTAAGAATTCCACGTTGTGGCCGTGGAGACCTGGGCTCGAATCCCAGCAGCCACAAATACGTTTTTATTTTTCAAGTTATAAAAAACTACCAAGTCACATTTATTTCATCATTCAAAACTACTTAACTTTGAGGAGCACACTTTTGTGAGTAACAATTTCAGATGATTTCATGACAATTCATGGAAACAAGTCCTTATCCTTGTGGTATTTTAGCTTTGCATAATTGCATCAACTTAAAAGTAAAACAAGGAACACTCATCATCGAAAACTACTGCATGAAGGTTGCTAGCCCCCATCATTGTGGCGCGGAAGACCACTTCGCGCCCCTAGAGCTCTGCACTTGGCAGCTGCCTGCATTTTTGTCAAAACAATTCATAAGCTTCTATCCATCCAATGATCCAATTTCCGCTCGAGTGCAAGACTATTTAGTATTTACCACTTTGGCAGCAAAGCATAGCATTTTCTCTGTTGCAAAGTTGGCGCAGATAGCTGAAAGTAATCAAGGAAATCTTGTATAAACAATAAAGCTGTGACGAGTCAAGGATAACATATGGAATAAATCGGTAGCATATCATATTACCGTAGAGAACAGCTCCTGCGAATGCATCACCGGCACCAGTGGTATCGATAAGCTCTGATGGTGGTATGTTTTCAGCTGTTCCAATGTACAACCTACCAGAAATGGTTCCTATACCTTCTGCACGCAATTTTGTCACCGACTGGAAGTAATACAAGAAATTCAGTTCCGCTACAATCCACTTTATAAGTTCAGATATAAAAAGTGTTGCGAGTTTTGTTACGATTACCGATGATATGCAGCTTGGGGTGCATATGCTCCTATTCTTTCTTGTTTCAAGAGATTTCAGTAATTTGTCAACATCCATTTCTTCTTCTGTGGATGTAACCTCTACCAGAAAAGCAAAATAAGTGAAAAGAACATGTTTAGCGTACACGAAAAGAGAGCATACAAAATACAAATAATATTTTCGACGCAAACGTAAAAAAAGTTGTATATACTACTAACCATTAGCACTTCTCTCAAGCATTACGCAACCATCTTTTCCCAAAGTTACAATCACAAATTTGACTTTCGGCAACTTTAGAAGCATAGAAACAAGTGCTTTTGGAATAGTTGCTGCCTCTGTCCACACCTATCACCGATAATTGAACAAAACAAAGCTTATGCAAGAACCTTAGTATTATAATTCTGTTACAATATATAATTTATAATGAAAACTTCGAACTTGCCTGTGGAAACTGTGCAGCGCATACGACATAATCAACTACTTTCAAAAGATCATCCAAACCCTCTCTTAGCCTTTCTGCATCCACTAAAATAGGTATGTTCATCTTAACTGCCTGTACTGGAAAATATAAGATCTTGTTTATTTCTCATAAGATGAAGCTCTAATGTCTCACACTCGATTTCCTTTACAAGAAGAAAATAAACTAAAACATACTAATTGGATACTTTTACCATGAATATCAAGAAACTTTAGGAGTGATGCAAATAACAACCTTGTTTGCAACAACTAGAGCAGTTTCATGCAATCTCCCATCAAAATAAGCAATTCTTGCTCCATTCAATGCAGATAACAAACTTGATTCAGGAAGATCTTCTGATTTCATAGGAGGAAATCCTGGTGTATGTATACAAGTTCGCGACTTGCTGAAACATTACAATAAAAATTACTCAAGTTACACAAAATTTTCAATTGCCGCATTAACATCAAATCTTTGAAGATGTTATTTTAAAACAAATCATGATAGAACATAGTTTTTAAGACTAAAAGGAGGACTAGACCAATGATTCTTACGTTTCGTTGTCAACAATGATATAGGTAAATGGTGAAGTGCCATCCTTAGAAACCTGCAAATAAGAAGCTCAATAAATAACAACAACAAGTAGCATACATATGCATTAAAAAAATTTAAAAGAAACAAATATAAATACTCGGCACCAAAGTCCTATGACAGCATGCTTAGAAATCCAAGATCACACTCAATCTTGAAGTTAGCACCGAAATGCTGCATAGTTATTGCAAAAAACCAAAGCATCATTAAGATTACAAACATAATATTGCGAGAAAATTACCACCATAAAGGAGGTATCTACACCATCAGCCTGCAGCTCATCTAATATGCGCTTTCCTTGAGTGTCATCTGCAACCTAATGAGTATCAAACAGTTTTTATAAAGTCATAACACAAGATTTATGAAGAGAGTAGATATGCATAGAGTGTGCGAGCAGTAGTGAAATACCTTGGAGATGATCCTTGGCTTGAGGCCCAAGCGAGCCGCGCAGGTTAAGGCATTGCCTGCGTTGCCACCTCCTTCAATCTACAGAAAACAATGCAGACTCAAATCACAAGAATCTCCAACAAAATGTGTTTTTTATATTACATTAATATAACCAAGTTTTGTTTGTTTTTGAACTCATAATTTTTTTTAACGGTCACCCAGCAAACTGATTAAATTGGAAACACACACAATAAGAAAAGTTCAATTACTCTTAAGATCCCAATACTATCTGGAGATTTTTAAAAACTATAATTAGGTCTCTAAACTTGTTAACAATTTATAGTTAGGCCCCTAATTTTAAAAGTAAATTAATTGAATATATGAACTTTCAAATAAGAGGAATATTTGCCATTCAAAAAAATTATGGTGTGTGAGACTAGCTACTACTTGACCAAAAAAATTGCTTTGATCAAGGACTTAATTACAGATTATTTACAACTTCACAATCCAATTATTACTATTTTTAGCCCAGAAACCTAAAAACCACGCTAAAAAGTATTTGTTATGTGAGTGTTTCTGGCGGAAGGAAGAAAAAAAGCACAAAAGTTGAAAAGAAAAGGAACTACTTTGAAGGAAGTGCTTCTGATTTTTTGATCTGGCTTGGGATAAGCAGCAACAGTGGCCAAGAAATCCAAGCCCACCGCTCCACACCCCACCTGCACAAACACAATAAAGTTTCCATTTTTAAGCTTCAAAGATGAAAAAAAGAGAGATTGAATCAAAGAGAGGACGCACCACAATTGAATTTTCAGGAAGGAAATCACCAGACATAGTGCTCACTCTAATACAAACCCAAAGAGGGTGGTGATTTTAATATAATTAGTAGCTTAAAGTTACTTTGAAAATTACAAATATGTCCATTATCACACACATATTATAAGGACAAAATGAAAATTTGGTTTGTCTTATTATAGTCAAACTGTTTGTCTTTTATTGCAGCTGATTTATCTAGCATTTCTATGATCCTCATTTTATAATCTGGTTTTAATAATAATGTTGTTATATGTTATGTTAAAAAAATAGAATCCTATTTATCATTGTTAGATAAACATGCAGAAAACTTCAAAATTTGCTGTGAAACTGGTATAAAGCAAGTATTGATCTTCAAGAGATGTACCACAGAAATTCCATTTTCCACATAGATGGCATTAGAGGATAAAGTGAAAAACTATAATCATGGTTTATCTTAAGTGTTGGAGTGTCTTCGATGCAAATTAAGTATTAGAACCAGACCCCAAATATGGAATTCAATTGATTAAACGGTCTGCATACAAATCTGAAAAATCTCTAAGTAACTGTACATACTGTGCTACACATTAATTTGTTGTTTCAGTTATTATAGAATACAATGTGCTTGTTTCTCTGAACAAAAAGTTCTTCATCCATTCATCATATCATATCTCTTCTAAGCACCGGTAGTAGCCATTTCTCCAAAATGGAAATGTTGAGGGAAACATTGTGAGTCATTGCAACCTGTGCCCTCATCTTCCTCTGTGTCCCAAAGGAAACTTGCATATGCTGCTTGTACATGGCTGATATCATATCATGAAAACAAAAGCTGTTGTTAGAATGACTTTCAAGCATGAAAGTGAGAACTTAATCTAAGAAGTACAACAATAATCTTAACATAATGTTATGAATGAAGCAGATGATATTGTATTTGTACCTGTCTTGAGGAGAGGCTTGTACTGCTCGTTCAAAATAGCTTGAAGCTCTTTCTTTGTCATGATGTAGCTCCCAAACTAGCTTTCCATACTGTGATAGAACTTCTCCATCATTTGGGTCTACTAGTATGGCTCTGGAATAATACTCCTCTGCTCCTTCAAGGTCTTGTTTGCACTGTCAAATCAACACAACATCAATTTTCCAATCATCTTGAATAATATAGTATCCATTAATAAAGTCATGTTGGTGTCCGACACTTGTATGACAACCGTACAACACGTGTTGGAAAACTCTGACAAGTGTTGAAAAAGTCAGACAAAAATGGTTTTTTCTTTGATTTGACACTCTTTGAATTGGTGTTTGACACTAGTATGGTACTCATACAACACTTGAGTGACAATTAAGAGAGGTGTTCATTAAAAATTCTTTTTTTTTTTGCTTATTGGTGTTTGACACTAGTATGGTACTCATACAACACTTGAGTGACAATTAAGAGAGGTGTTCATTAAAAATTCTTTTTTTTTTTTTGCTTCAACACGCCCTATATATTTCTTGAGCAAATTTCACACGCATCTAAAAGGGTTACAGCCTACAGGGTTAAACATGTAACGTGTCAGCACCCTACTACATTTTTTACATTATCGGTGTCGGTGTCATCTCCATACTTCATAAGTTGAAAAAGAATATGGTTTGTTTAAGTTATTATTACGAAAAAAAAGTTATGAACATAGCATGGTAGTAATACACAACAAGTAGGCTACCAGAATCAGACTTTCAACAATTGAGACCTATAGGCCTGTTTGGATTGACTTGGCATAAGCAACAAATTATAATCTGTTTACAAGTTTTCAGATAAGTTTGTCTCGTGAATTTTGAATCAAGTTGTTTATGCAAACAGAAGGAAATAGAGGTTACCTGATACAAAAATTGAGCATAATTCCTCAAGAACAATGGATTCCCAGGATTTTGCTGCACCATTTTCTTGTAATATTCCTCCACCCCAGGATTATTATTATCTCCATCATTTCTGTCAGAACCCATAGAATTATAATCACCACCTCCATTGCCTCCTCCTCTGCAGCCACCGCCTATGCCATCACCGCCACCACAGATATCAATACCAAGCCCCTTCGCAAGATACATTTCTCTATTACCAACCTCTCCCTCATCACCAAAACTAACCCTACAAACTCTATCATCCACTTCTTCACTCACCATCATACTATTCATCACACTAAACTCATCATATCCTTCCTCTTCAATATCAGACTCTTCATCTTCCTCTTCTTCACGCAAGCCTGTTTGTTTAGAAAGAGAGAAAGACGGAATTGTCTCAAGTGGTAAGCCTCTTTGTTTCCCTGAATACCTCTTAGAAGGGTCCAAATAATTGTGTCTCTCGTCATTATTGCAAGTAGCATAGGCTAAGTCCTCCAAGTTTCCCTCAGATTGAACTCTTCTAATCAACCCTTTGTTTTGCCTTTCAAGATCAACAATGGAGGGGGAAATTGGAGAAGAACTGCATGAGAGTCTGTGAGTGGTTGATGGTGGTAGATGATTAAGCATATGACAGGATTCAAGATGAAGACTATGAGTATGGTTAGTACTGTCTGTGAAGGGAGATATAAGAGAACCAAGAATTGGTGTTGAAGAGCTTCTAAGCAACATGTCTTCTGATTAGCTAGCTAATAATGATGTTGGATAGTTGTTTTCTTGTCTCTTGATTCTTTGCTTTTGAAGTAGAAATCTAAAACACAGAAAGAAAAAAAACTAGAACTTAGAAAAAAAGAGACTAATTGGCATAAAAACAGCATAAAGGAGAAGAAAGAAGCAATACCCTTTGAATATAAAAAGAAAAAGGCAATACCTTTTTAGATGGTGGAGAGTTAACAGATATGACAGAAAAGAATTTTAGAGCAAAATGTGAACTTTTTTTAATATATGAAACTAGGGCTATCTCTTATTATATATAGGGAAAAACTAAGGTTAAACCCTAATATTCTTGTGTATTATTTTGAGAAGAAAACAAAAATTTAATTTTCACCGAAAAATCATTAAAAAAAGATTTAATTAAGGGTAGCAATTGAGTGGTGGACAAAGTTTTGATGAATTTGTTTGTAATTGTATGACTGAATTGGTTGAGACAAAACATCAAACACTTGGTGAGGTGTTTTACTCGGTTCAAATGTAAAGTAGAATGAAAAATCACTGTCACTATCTTTTTGACATGAATAAAATGAAAAAACGAGATTAAGAAAAACTAGACCAACCATTACATGATGAGAGAATTTGCTCCACAAGGTTATGGTAGAAGAGGAAAATGTTCATGAAACCGAAATAGGAGATGTTTTATTCCACACAAAAAAAACATCTTCTGTTTTTGGAACTACACGTGCCACTTTTTATGTTTCGTGGAATATTATTCTGTTGTGACCAAAATTGAATTGATTACACCTATTAGTAATATTCTGGAAATTTTGTTTGAGGGAATTCAGTCGTAAAATTCCTTACGAAATTCGTTTAAAATAACAAAAATGATATTTGTTTTTTATTTAAGGAAGAAATATGAAATATAATTTTATAAAAAATGATATGTATTTTTAGAAGAGTCTTTTATTCTAGATTAGTTGTATACTTTGTCTTTCATTGTAATTGAATATCCGAATTTATGATTTATCGAGTAATTTGTAATTAAATCATTCGTAATAGTGTGATCTAAAAGATCCATTCATTATATAGTTTTAGTAAAATTTTGAATAATTTATATAATATAAAACAGAAGGAAAAAAAAAAAAGCCGCGGAAAAAGAGTATGAATTATCATTAATTAAAAATATCATTAATGATAATGATAGATATAACACAGGGAAAAAAAAAGTTATATGTGTTATATCAGGAGGATGAGTGTTAGGGGATGAAGATGATATTCATTCTGAAATTTTGAAAAGTCAATAGAAGACGACTAGTAAATTTTTCACATATCCAAACACTTGCAAAAAATAAATATATATAATATATAATAAATTCATAAAACTTGGAAGTATATAAATAACTGTGATGTTTTAATACCTTAAATGCCAATTCTCGGCAACAACGTCAATTTTATATTGAGTAAAATCAAATAAAAGTATTGTTTTATCGTATCCGCGGAGATTGGAGCGATATCAAAACCGTTCAACAATTTCTATAATTTTAAGCATAAGTTTTAAGATTTGTTTGGTTTATAAGTGACGAAAGTAAATGCGTAAAATAACGAAAGATAAAATTCAGAGGAATAGACTTGTTGGGAATTGGTTTTCATCCACCGATTCAATATGCAAATCTCATATCAATTATACGCAAGTTAGGAATGTTTTAAGATCATCACGTATCGCACACAAACAAAGTTCATGTCTAAACTTTAATGAGCTTTCTTACCTTATGATTTAATCGATGATTTATCAGCCTATTAAATAATACGATAGCATTAAGATTCGATATTTTTAGTGAATATTAAACTTAAATCTATGTTATCTTAGATTGCGATTAGAACTGTATTTGTCAATATCAATTCAATCCATGAAATAAATGGTAGAACAAAGATAACAACGACAATGATTCAAACATAAATTGAATATAACACCATGATCAAAGTAAATACATATTGTTTCGGTGAACTACCATCAATCCCAATAAGAGAGGGATTTAGCTACTCATGGTAGTTTGAAACGCAATGGAAGATTTGAGTTGAAACGACATCAATAACGATTTCCCGACTCTTGATGCGATCCAACCCTTCTACCTAAAACCTTCTATATTCCTACTTCTATTACAACAATATAATGTATTACAAGATAGAAAGTGAATGAATCTGTTGAGCTGAGTTTGTGTCCTATTTATAGCAGTTCTGGCCGCCTATGTTCGCTAAGCGAACTATATTTCGCTAAGCGAAATCTTGCTTCTTTGTTAAGTTTTCAAATCAACTTGTCTTTAGAAAACCGCCAAAGTTTGCTAAGCAAAGTGATGCTCGCTTAGCGAAGCTACTTTCTTCAGCCTAAAGTATTTTCAAAATATCTTTCTTTGACCGCTCTATTTCGCTAAGCGAAGGCCCGATTCATTAAGCAAACTTGC